TTTGGAGTAGCACTGCTTCGGCTGACGAGGAATTTTGCTCATTGCCCACCCTACGAATGTCAGGATTTCTGCACTCATCAGCCAGGCGCGCCAGACCGATATCAGGGCGCATCCGGCTCCCCTTCCATAGTTTTTGCTGTGAGCGACTTTCGTGTGCTGCTAGCCCTTCTACTGCTGCTGACGCGTTGATCCAAGCGTGGGTTCCTCTGCTGCGCGTACTTCAGTGAGCTGATACCTCAATGAGCTGATGGTATTTCAGTGTTACCAGGTCAATTTGCAACATACAGGCTTGCTTATTTGGGAGATTTAAATGGCATTTCCAGTTTTTCCTTAATTGTCAAAATTCGATTGTGCTCCTCTCCACCAGCAGCGCCAAACAAACTGCATATGTTAACGCATAGAAAATTTGAGGCCCTCATCCTCTTCTAATCTTTTAGCCAGGAATATTCATTGTTTGTATCTTTAAAATTTCTGAAACACTTCTACATTGCTTGCTCAGCTTCATTTTTATTGGTTAAAATCGAGGGCTTTCGAGATTGGCGTTCCAGCAACCGCGGTAATTGCAACTCTCAAAGTGTATACCGTCATTGCTGCGATTAAAAAGTTCGTACTTGGATCTTCGCTTCAGGACCCGTTGAATCTTCGTTTCAGGACTTCAGGACCCGGTCCGTCAATTGGACGAGAACTGGGCTCTAAAGCTCGAAATGCTGGCCTCCTCTGCGCAACCTTCATCAGTCGCACAGAATAGCCAGCAACTTCAGCCTGAAAAAATTTTGGAGTGCTCGACGCGGGCTAATGCCTGAATACTCGTGCATAGAATAATGACTGTGCAATTTTCAGAAGCGATTTGGGACAATAATGTTTTTGACGCGAAGCGAATATGACCGTGGCGTCAATACGTTTTCGCCGGAAGGACGACTGTTCCAAGTGGAATATGCCATCGAAGCTGTCAAGGTGCTTTCTTCTGATCAAATTCTGAACCCTGGCACTGTAATTGTTCGGGGCGGGGGGGGGGGGGGGGGGGGGGGGGGGGAA